ACTGTAGGGGTGTGTGTGTGTGTGTGTGTGTGTGTGTGTGTGTGTGTGTGTTTGATCAGATTAATTAAAATTACTTTTGTCATCATGGGGTACAGCAGTATATAATGGGGCTTTTTGTCCTGATCATGGAATTAAATTCAGATGAAAGTTCATATTACAGAATAGGGAACCTGGATCCTTGCCCCAAATGAGAGAAACGAGGACGGACTTCCTGGGAGAAACGTTGATTGGGGCACAGGTGACCTGGAGATCTGAGTGGGGTTCTGGGATTACCATACCAGGGGCTCCCAGGTCCCCAAACAGGGCAGCCGTGGATGAACCGGGGCAAGAGTGGGTGGAGAAGTGGAATGGAGAGAAATGCAAGAATTCACAGAGGAAATGGGAGAGCAGGAAAGAGCGAGGCCCAGAACCTCCGTTCTCACTGGCCGCATGTGGACATAGAGCAGCATGTGGGAAGGGCTTGAGGTCCCACTCAACCGACGTAGCTCCCTGGCACCTAGCAACCACCGCTCAGCATTTTCCTTTTTCAACTCCCCTGGGCTGGGGGTTTGGTCCTCCCGTTACCCGCTCCGTTAGACACAGTCTCAGCTGGGAGCACAAGAAGGGCTGGTGTGGGGGGGGCAGGGGGAGGCAGAGCAGGCAGCCACTCCTACGTTCCTCCAGTGGCACCTGGGTCCCCTGGACCTCGCAGGGTGGTCTGGGGCCTGAGGCGGAGCAGCCCCTCAGCCCTGGGCTCTCGTAGCCAGCCATCAAGGAGCTCAACTCCTTGGGAGACCCCGCCCCTCCCCCCGCAGAAAGGAATAAAAGCAAATGAACATGGGTGCATGTGTGTTTGTCCTGGATTTGGACTGAGGGGTGTGTGTGTGTGTGTGTGTGTGTGTGTGTGTGTGTGTGTGTGTGTGTGTGTGTTTCTGGGCCATACCTGGTAATGCTCAGGGCTCACTTCTGGTGGTCTTGGAGGCCCTATGGGATGCCGGAGATCCAACCACACTGGCCATTTGCCAGCAGACGCCCTCCCTGCTGTACTATTGCTGGGACCCCGTGATGATTTTTTTTTTAAATAAAAGCAGGGCCGCGTTCGCTCTGGGATATGAACATGCCTTAGAGGATCCAAAGGAACCAAGTCCCATCTGCGTGAATTCTGAGATGTGCAGAGAGAAGGTACATTCTCAGCAGCTGGGTGTGGGGACCCTTGAGAAAGAACCAGGGCCTGGTCTTCAGCCCAGTGCTGCGGGGACAGAGACCCAACAGCCAGAGTGCTGTCACCACTTATCCCAGGAGGGACACCGCAGCACGGAAGCTGGAGTTCAGATTTGAGGAGAGGATGTGGAAGACTTTGCTAACCTTGGCCTGCCAGCAGCAGGTGACACCCCTTCCCCTGCCATACACCCTCAGTGTGTCCCCAAACAGATTATCTGCTGTCCAAATCACTGTCCAGCATGTGGCTGAGCATCCTCATGGGTGCCGAGCACTGGGGCTTTATCCCTGCCTTGTCCACACCTCCTCACATCTTATGACTCAAGCCAAGGGCCGGAGAGATAGTGCAGTGGGCAGGGTACTTGGGTTTGATCAAACTGGGTTCGATCCCCGGCAACTCATATGGTCCCCCAGCTTCACCAGGAGTGACCCCTGGGCATCGCCGGGTGTGACCCCAAACCGAAAAACAAAAAACCTCAAGCTGAGACCATCCAGATCTCAACCCCCCCCCACTTCTCTGACGGGGATTCGGGGAGCAAAGCATTCCTCACGGGTGAGGCCAGATACAACTGGCCCCGGTGGGGGGGACTGGGGTGTTGGCTAACGGGGTGTCATACCACGGGAGCACCGGGACATGTGACTCGGGATGGAACCGCTGAAGGACCATGTATTGTCAGACTCGGTTCCCAAACTGTGTTCTGTGGCAGTGGGGTGTCCTGGGCAGTGGCCAAGTGTGGGACGTCCCTGCCAAGTCCAGAGTGGTCCTCAGTGTTCCCAGCTGCCCCCTCTGCACTGACCATCAGAGATGAAAGAAGCCAGAGACAGGCTCAGAGTTTGACTTCAGAAATTAGGACTTTCAAAAGATTTTAATCGGCAAGAAAAAATATTTCTCACAGTGCTGTGAAATAAGAACTTGAATGAATCCCAACAGGGCTGTGCCCTGGGCCCAGCGGGCAGCTTCCTGTCCCCATGGGCCAGGCAGCAGTACTGCACATTTCTGCCCAAGGCTGCCGCCTTCGGCTTCCTGATTCCTGCCCACCGAGTCTCAGGGCCATCACACATTGGGGGAAGTGTTGGTGACAGCCGGTCTATGGCCACGGGGCAGGATCCCTTGGCCAGGCAGGCGGGGCAGGACCCTGATCGGTGACACTTCTCTGCGTTAACGTCACTCCTGGGGCTGATGAGTGTCCTCGTGGCTCTGCATTTCAGTGAGGTGTGACTGACGTCCAGCACCAAGTCAGAAGCCACACCTGGGACCTCTCCAGGCCAGCTCAATTCCAGCCTAGTGCTCTGGTTTGGGTTTGGGGGCACATCTGGCAGTGCTGGGGTGGGGAGGGGGTGGTGCTGGGTCTTGCACCTGAGCCTTCTGCATGCAGAGCCAGTCTCCAGCCCACTCTGCTTTCTCCACCCTGTGTCATGCCTTTATTATTATTTTTTTTGGGGGGTCACACCCAGTGATGCATAGGGGTTGCTCCTCTGCACTCAGGAATTACTCCTGGTGGTGCTCAGGGGACCATATGGGATGCTGGGAATCGAACCTGGGTCGGCTGTGTGCAAGGCAAATGCCCTACCAGCTGTGCTATCGCTCCATTCCCTATTATTATTATTATTATTATTATTATTTTGAGACCACACCTGGTTATGCTCCGAGTTATTTCTGAATCTGCACTCAGCTTATCACTCCTGTCAGTGCTTGGGGGTCCCTGTGGGATGCCGGGGATCCAACCCAAGTCAGCTCTCTGCCAAGGTGAGCGTCCCACTCACTCTTTCCAGGCCCTGCTTCAGGCTTTTATTTTTTATTATTTTTGGCATTTAGGGTCACACCTGGCGATGCTCAGGGCTTCCTCCTGGCTCTACACTCATAAATTACACCTGGTGGTGCCTGGGGACCATATGGGATGCCAGGGATGGAATCCAGGATGGTCACATGCCAGGCAAACGCCCTACCTGCTGTGCTATCACTCCAGCCCCAACTTAATCCTTAAAGCAGGTCACCCAGGAGGATGTCAGGCATGGCCTCCCGCCCTTCCCTCAGCTCTGCCTCTGCCGAGTACCCGAAGGTGCAGGGAGTAGCCGTCTGTAGTGCCCAGCATGGCCCTACAGAGCTTTCTGGGCACCGCCGTGTGGCCAAGGCGGCCTGGGACAGAGGGCTGGACTCATTCGCACGCATTTGCCTAAGGGCTGGTTTTGGCAGGAGGCTGTGCCTGGCTGCACCCCATGGGGGCCCGGCTCAGAGAGGCCGGAGCCAGAGCAGACAGTGACCCCTGCACTCCCACCTCAAGGTCTGGATTTGCAGCAGAAAGCCTGCAGGACCAAGGGTGGCCGCAGCTCAGCTGCTGGGATCCCACAGCCCACAGCTGAGCCACTCAACTCTGGAACAAGCCCTCGGCCCTCGGAATATAGCTTTGGCTGTGCCAGCACTGCTGGGGTGGGGGTGGGGGCTGTTTGTTTGGATAAAGGTGAGAGGAAGCTGAGCACAGGCTCCCCCACCTCCCCCCCACTCCACCCCCTGGATTGGGATTCAGGCCAGACTTCTGGAACATTCTAGCGTACTGTCACTGGCTCAGGTCTCTCTAGTCCCGAGGCCGCAGTGTTTTATCATGAAGATGCCTCAGCTGAAGTGTTTCCTGGAAGTTTCCTTTCCTTAAGTGCGATGTCTTCTTGGTCCAGAGCAGTCCCTGGTCCCCGAAATGTGTGTTTGTGTCTCTGCTTCTCCCTAATCTCCGTGGCTGGAGGTGGACAAGAGGGTTGGAGCCCGGGAGCTCCATCATTTGTTGCTCTGAGCCAGACTTGGGGTCCAAAGAACGATGAATGGCGTGTAGTCATGAGCAGACCCCAGAGGCCCAGGCCCACTGATCCCGCTCTAGGAACCGAGACTCTCACCAGAACGTTTTCCTCCCATCTCAGGCGTGGGACGACCCGCAGGCCTTGTGGATTAGATTATTGGCCATGCTCACAAGGGCCACACCCCACACCCCACAAGGCAGAGCGTCTCTGCCATGCTACACCTCAAATGCAGTAGGGATTTTGGGCAGAAAGAGACTTGATTGTAGCATAGTGGAGCAATTTTTTTTTACTGAACTGTTAACTGATGGCAGGAGGGCCCTGGCAGTTGGGCCAGGGCAAGACTCAGATGTAGGGCTCACGGCATCTCAGCCTGACAGACTCAAACAAAGATGTTGAAAATGTGGTACGGAACCTGTCGAACCAGAATTTCTTTGTTTTCTCAATGTGAAATTTTTTTTCCCCTCCCATGATACATATCAAAAATGCCTTTAGTTGGAGTTAGCTAAAACTGTTTATTAGACATTGGACCTACAAACAAAGCTTCTAAACTATCTCACAAATGGACACGGGCAGGAATCTGCACCCAGCCCAAAGTGCTTGGAAGCATCATTTAGTTTCGTTAAGGTCTTCACTCATTTCCTTAGTCTCATCTGCATAAGAGAGTCAGTGATAAATTGATGGATTGAATAATTAAAATCAACCCGATGAGTTTCTAATTGGCCCTTCAATTACACTCGAGTGATACTTGCTTTTTTCCTCATCTCAATTATCCTGTTCATTGTCTTAAGGAAAAAACAAAAGGTGTATTGCACCGTGTCATGTATTTTCAAAGCTCAAAAACCACGTGATTGGTACCCGAGACTCCACTGGCTCCGAGGGGACCTCACTTCCCAGCCCACAAGCTTCTCTGCCCGTGTGACACTCCCCAGCCCGTCACGGCGCCCCCACCCCCCCACCCCTGCCAGTATCACGGCGTGCCTGGCACGAGCCTGGGCTTGGTGTTCACGCCATCCACACAGAATGGAATACAGCTTTATTCTCTCAGGTTCCACACATCAACAAGAGGCAGACAGAGCCTGTGTCATCTCCGGCAGAGAGGCAGAGCGGCCCTGTCTCATGAATGACAGCATCTGAGTAAAGCTAAAATAATATAAAAATAATTTTGAAAAAATCCCTTTTCTGTACACTTTCAAATAAAGCAAGTAAGATTTTTTTTAAAACAACAGTATCATTTTTCTTTTTTTTTTCTGCTAATCAGAAAATAGGTTTCTATTCATCTGGGCTTTGAAGTTCAGTGTGCCCCCATCCACGTGCGTTTGCAGCTATGCATGGATAATCTAGGCGATGTTGCGAAGCCCCTAAAACTTTTCACCTAGTTTGTCTAATCATTAAGCTACTAAACCAATTAGAATACTATTATATCACATTGAACAACTTTACGTAATTGCTTTTTTTTTGAAATACTAGGAACATTTACACATTTGGCTTGTAAAGGATTGAAATATCACATGTAATATTATCTAGCTTTTTCTTTTTTTTCTTAAAGAATATGGCTCTTAATAAATTTATCTGAGTTCTAGAGTGAAAAAAAAAATCCCTTTTGAAGCAAGAAGACATGTCTTCTGATTTGGCCCAAAAAAAGGAGGAAAAAAAAAATGGAGGACGAGTGTTTTCTACCATTTAGAATAAAGTCAAGGAAGGGGGCCCTTTGTCGCCAACGGTTGCAACCAAACTTGCCATGAAGTGTTTGTCGAAATATCTCCACTTGGCCAGCAGAGGGCACTTTAAACACCCCTGCCCGCGGGGGCGGGCCAGGGGATGCAGGAAACACAGTGTTCACCCCAGACCAGGAGGAGCCCTGCGGGTTTCTTTTTGAGATTCACAAAAATATAGAAAATATGGACTGTACCACAGGCTTCCGCCGGGGAAGGTCTGAGCGCGTGGGGCCAGGTGGCTCCCCTGCCCGCCATGACCCAGGCCTGGTCTGCGCTGACCCAAGGCCCAGGCAGCATGTCCTTCCTCCCCGTAGCCCCGGGGACACCGCGAGCGACGCTCACGGGGTGGGGGACCCTTGGGGGACGGGGCCCACGGAGAGGAGCAGCGGCTTTCCCTGGGCTGCAGGGCTGCGTCTGTTTCCCGAGGCGCAGGCCGGGCGTCTGTTCCCAGGGGAGGGCCGCGCGTCCGTGAAAAGGCTTGAGTTCCGGCGAGAGCATCGTCGGTCTACACCTACACCCTGTTCCCACTGCCATATCGCAGCTTTGCTATTGGCTCCAGTATTGTGTGTCAAAGAACGTCAGAAAGGATTTTGTGTGTGTGTATGTGTGTGTGTGTGTGTGTGTGCGCGCGCGCGAGCGCGTGTCTGCCTGTGCGTGTGTGCTCGCAGTTTTAAGTAAACTTCTTTGATCCTTAGAGAAATATAACACTTAGTAAATACATTTTTTTTCTTTCCTTTCCCTAGAGTGTTCCCAGCATGTGTGTGCCTTCCGGCGCTCTCTCTCTCTCTGCGTCTGCTCGCTCCGTTGTCTGGTGTCCTAGCGCTGACGGAGAGGGAGGGGCCCTTGGGGCGGCAGTCTCTGGGACGGAGGTGTCTCCACAGCGAGTCCTCACCCGGACAGGGTCATCAACTTACTGGGCTCGGCCAACCTACCCCCCCCACCGCCCTCCCCACCCCCAGGCCGCCTGGGGTTCAGTGTGCCGTGTCTCTCGTGCCGGTCGTGTTTCGGGGTGACCCTGAGCTGCGGTGGCCTTGGCAGGCCCCGCCTACTCCGCCTTCCGGGCCGTCTTCACCTTGCCGATGTAGGCCTCGAAGAAGAAGTGGCAGAAGAGCAGCAGGTAGCTGAGGTACATGAGCGAGGACCAGAAGATGTTCTGGAAGTGTGAGTAGCACTGGTCCGTCTGCATCCAGCGGAAGACCAGGTAGTTGACCACGCAGCCCATGAGCATCTGCAGGATCTGCGAGAGCGTGATGAACATGGCGAACTTGCGGGACACGCGGAAGCCCGCGGCACGCAGTGCGTAGTAGGAGTACATCACGGCGTGCACACTGTAGTTCATGGTCATGAACCAGCCGCCGCCGGCCACCATGTCCTTGTAGGAGTACCAGGAGTACAGGAGCACAGTGATGTGGTGGTACCAGTGCAGGAAGATCAGCTTCTGCTTCCGCAGGATGATGAAGATGGTGTCTCCTGCAAGACAGGGGAGGAGGGACAGATGCGTGAGTCCTGCAGCCATGAGCCCGGCGCCCGCCATGTCCAGGCAGGAAGGGGAGGTCACTGGGACCTGTACCGGAAGGGGGGGTGGGGCACGGGCGGGACAGGACGAGAAAGGATACTGTTCAGCTGTGTGTGTGTGTGTGTGTGTGGGGGGGGGGGACCCAGGGCAACTTGGTGGTCTTCACTGACTTCCGGTCACCTCACTCATCCAACAGAGACTGTTCTAGCTGCCCTGGAAGTGTGGGCCCCTCTTTGCAGAGTCTTCCTGGTGACCAGTCTGGAACCACGGGGACTGGCTTTTGGCTTGGGTCTGCCACCCGACAGGGGCCTAGCAGCTGGGACAGAGGCAGCCCCTGCCTTCTGGGAGATGGGGACACCCAGGCCCCACATGGCTGGCGGAGATGGGAGGCCTGCCCCTAGACCCTCACCCAGGCCTCTGGCGGATCTGCAAATGCCCAGGCCTGGCCTGACCAATGGCACTGCATGGCACTGCATGGGGTTCCAGAGAAAGCCAGACTGGCCGCTGCGGCCAGTGGGAAGAGGGGGGTCTGAGGGAGGGGGAAGAAGGCAGGAGAGCCCCCTCCTCGGTCAGGAGGCTGCTCTGCCCATGGGCCATCTCTGGAGTCAGCTCCTCTCCCCACACACCTGCTCCTACCTCAGGAGGCTCTAAGGGGAAGAACCTCTTCCTTCCGCTAATCTGCCGGCCCTCTGGGGACTATCCTACAAGCCCAGAGAGACCCTGGGGGGAGCAGCCCTGGGTGACTGTCCTGCAAGCTGAAGGGGCATCCTCTAACTGGAGGGAATTCTCCAACCAGGAAAAAGTGCCACCAATGCCCCGTAACCCAGGATGGAACCTCACATTCCTGCCCCAACCCCCGTGTGGGACCACAGGGAGACGGTGCAAAGGGCTGAAACGGGCTCTGCTCAGCGGAAACCCAGCCTTGACCTGGGCACACAGTGCCTTGGGTACAACCTGACACTCCCTCCCCCAATACTAGGAACTGAAGCTTAAAAGGTCATCATCAGAAAAATATATCTGGCAAAACAAACTCCCCCCCATAAATGAAATAAAAAAAAACCTCATAATTTTGAACTTGTAGATAAGTTTTGCACTAATCCCAGTATAACCAAGAGTCTCCTGCACCTGGCTCATAAATTTCGTGTTAGTGGGGCTGGAGCAATAGCACAGAGGGGAGGGCGTTTACACCATGGTAAGCACATGGCCAATCTGGGTTTGACCCTTGGCATCCCATATGGTCCCCTGAGCACTGCCAGGAGTCATTCCTGAGTGCAGAGCCAGGAGGAACCCCTGAGCATTGCTGGGTGTAACCCAGAAAGCATAAAAAAAAGATTCATTTTAGAAATTTCTCTGCAGATGACGTGGCCGCGGCACGCCAACATGCCCAGGGCAGGGCTTTGTGCCAGAAGCCCAGACTCACTGTGACTGAGTCTCCAGGGGCCAGAGGCCACTGGACCGGGAGGACGGTGGGAAGGTGGGCTCGGGCTGGGGGAGGGGGCAGGCTGCTCGCCGCCCCCCAGCCTCAGAGTTCAAGGACGAGCTATGAATACAGGCCTTGCCCGGGAAATGGGCACAGATGGGGCCAATGCTTGCCTCTTCCTGCAGGGCCAGGGGCCACAGCTGGGGTGGGGGGAAAGGCGTGGGGGAGAGGGTGGACGCAGCCGGGGGCTTGCGATCGGGGCTCTCACTCACCGAGCTCTGGCGCTTTGCTCAGCACGAAGGCATACGCCCAGAACTTGCTGACGGGCCCATAGTAGAAGCTCTGGTCACACACGGACTGCTTCAGGCCTTTGGTCATCAGGATGTAGAGCATGTAGGCACCAGTTCGAAGAGCACCGAAGATGCTGAGTGTGGGGAGGAGAGAGCCATTAGGGTGGGCAGGCGCCACGCAGGGTGGAGAAGAAACGTTCACGGGGCCCCACTGTCATCATGAACATAATGTTCTCGGGGCCTGAGGTGCCTCCATACAGCCGGGGGGCATCCTCAGGCCCTTCCTGCGGGGACTGAGTGGACTGAAGCTGACCCTGGTTCCCCCCCCTCCAGTGTCCTGTAAGACCCCCCACGATTCTGGTGACGGAAGTTTGCCTCAGGGCTGGATTGGCTGAGCAGGATGACCACATCCCCCAGATTTTCCCACTTGCCACAGACCCTTGGAAGATGACCATGTCCCTCTTGGTGACCGAGCAGGCTTCAGTCGCCCCCACCCTGGCTCCCCACGTCCTGCCACCAGGCCATCCCCATGGGGTGCCCGACTCAGGTGCCCGCAGACGCTGCTGGCACTGGAGAGCGAAGTCTTCTCAGGAGCGTCAGCATCTGTCCAGAACCCAGACCCCGCAGAAGACACCACACAGAACACCCGGCCTTCACTGACCTTAAGCCCAGTGAACTCTGATGGCTGCCCCTTTAGGATCCCTGAGCCCCACCACGAGGGAGCCCTGAGTGCAGAACCGGGAGGAAGCCCCGAGCACCAGTGGGTCTGGGCCCCAAGCAAAGATCACAAGAAACCTATGTATGTACACACACACAAACACACACACAGTTTCTTTTCCTCCTTGTGGAGATGCTCCCTGGAAAGCTGGGGCACACGGCACTGTGTCACTGAGCCACATGCCAGGCCCCTCCCTGCAGGTATTTTAAATAAAATTCAGCCCCGATTCTCATGCTCTGGCTCATGTTTCCTTCCTGTTCCAGGATGGGCTGTCTGCACAGCTGGCACTGGCAACGCTGGAGAGTGACTCCCCTCCCGTTTGGACGTGGCCCAGTGCACAAAGGGTACACGGAGGCTCGGGGGGCCGCTCCACGTGCTCCCGACAGTCAAGGGCCCCCGCACCTGTCCTGGCCAAACACACTCTACCCACTTTGTTCACCTGGCACTTACATGGCACCAAGAAACTAGAATTTAAAACCTACAGTGGAATGGATGAGTAGTGAATTTTTTTTAAAGCTATTTCTAGGACAAAGTGCTTTTTCTGGTCATTTTGTTGAGTCCCAAGATGGCACATGGGGCTGCGGCATTTTGACTGAAACACGAGGTGCTTTTTTTGTTTTTGTGTCACACCTGGCAATGCATAGGGGTTACTCCTGGCTCATGCACTCAGGAATTACTCCTGGAGGTGCTTGGAGGACTATATGGGATGCTGGGAATCAAACCCAGGTCAGCCGGGTGCAAGGCAGATGCCCTACCCCTCCAGCTCCAGGGTTGCCTTTTCTTTCCTCTGTCACCTTGTTGCCCTTTTTGAACAATGGTTACAAAGAAGATGATTCTGTAGACTTTTGCAAGAGTGACTGAAATTGCAAGGCTCCTGTTGGCTCTTGAATAAGTATTCCTTTTCTTTCTCCATACCACGTCTAAGGAAGTTTAGTTTTGATAAAAAAGGAAAGAAGGGAGGGAGGGAGGGAGGGAGGAAGGGAGGGAGGGAGGGAGGAAGGAAGGAAGGAAGGAAGGAAGGAAGGAAGGAAGGAAGGAAGGAAGGAAGGAAGTCAGACAGTCAAAGACCACACAAAGAGGGAAAGAGTTAATTCCTGCGCCCTAAGGATGTGGATGGGCAGAGCAGCGCCAGGCAGGACAGGGGCCACCATGCTGGAAAGTCAGTGACAATTCAGCCATGTTTCAGTCTGCTCTCTTCAGAGCAGAAACCCCATCTTTCCCCCTCTTTGTTTTGCCTCAGCAGCAGCACTCGGGACCCTTCCGCCTTAGCCTTGGGCTCCTCTCCCGAGCTGGAACCACCCTGGACTGGGAAGACAGCACCTTCAGGATCACCCACCATGCCGGTCCCTTTCTGCGAACATAAACATCTCAGCCCGGAGCTCTGCAGACCCCACCCACCTGGGAACTCGTTCTGCAGACCCCCACCCCCTCCAGCTTCTAAACTGTCGACATCCATCCATTTCTCAACCAGAGAACACAGAAGCCACCCTGCCCGCCACTGTGCCACGGGTATGGAGGTGACAGAAAGAAAAGCCAAACACTTTGCTATGTGTCATCTCGAAAGAAATGCAGGACGCACTGAATGCTCTGAATGCTAAGCCCCAGGGCGCTGAAAACAACGGCTCGAACAGGGAGGCCGCCGGGCACGGACGGGGCCAGCATAGCAAGCTGTGGGGGAACAGGCGACAGGGAAGGAGCTCCCAAAGGGGCCCCCACCCCTCATGGTGCCCCCGCACCCAGGAATCACTGGGTTTCAGGGTAGAGACTGGCCAGTCAGATATGCACCAAAAACAGCAAAGGGGGTGGCAGGGAGAAAGGGTGCAACTGTCTGGGGTTCTGGGCGGGATTGTGTAGAAGAAGCAAACACCCCCCACCACCACAAAGGGCAGTTGGGGCGGGCATCACCGTCTGGGAGCTGGACAAGGCCTTTTGGCTGACTACTCTAGTCCAGAATTCCTGCAGGCCTCAATGTGCATCCCGGGCACGGCCGGGAGGAGAGGCTCCATGTCTTCTCTCCTCGTGTTCGCTGCCCCTCCATGGGCCGCTCCCAGTCAGTCCCTCCTACTCCCGTGCTGCTGATTTTTATGTCGTCTCCAGTGAGCCTACAACCCAATCATGATGCCTGAGCGCCAACTGGTGCACTCCAGATGATGCGATCAAGCAATCTCATACAAAGCTCGGTCTGAAGACGTCTCTAAGCTCAGGGTTTGACTTCTGATGTTGCTCAGAATCTGCCTGTGCTTGTCTCTCAGAATCCTTTCAGTGAGGCGCGTCTACGGGCCTGTGTGACAGCACGGGGATCAGAGCACGGCAATTCTTAACTCAGTCTTGGTTCAAAATAACCCTGATCAAGTATTCCAGGAGTTGTTGTATCTTAAATTAGCAGGCAATCTCCGTGAGGATGCGCGTTATTCTGCTCACCAAGTTTCAGAAAAGCTACAGTATCCCAGCTAAATATGAATTCAGCACCAGGATATAAAATGTCACATGCCAACAGTTTCAAGTTGTTAAAGACTGTGATGAGGCCAGAGCGACAGTACAGTGGGGAGGGCACTTGGGTTCTATCCCCGGCATCCCATATGTTCTCCTATGCACCGCCAGGAATAATTCCTGAGTGCAGAGCCTGGAGTAACCCCTGAGCATCGCCAAAAAAAAGCCAAAAAAGAAAAAAAAAACCCCACCCTGTGATGCATTACTGAAGTTCAGTTTTTGTCCAAACATAATTGCATTGCCCAGGTCTCAGAGATACTGAAAGTATGATCAAAGAGTCTCAAGACTGACTTCAATTATTAAGGGGGCACTGAACAAAGCACTAACAGTAAGTATTGGTGGGAGTGAGATTAAGGGCTTATCTGCTCTTCGGTGGTTTAGCTGGTTTAGCTTTAGGAAGCGAACCCTCCCTTTTGTTACTTGAAAAAGAAATTATTTCAGGGGCTGGAGGGGCAGTCCAAGATTACGGACCTTGCCTTGCATCTCGCTGACCCGGTCAAACGCCCAGCACTACATATGACCCTGACCCACTTAGCAGCCCAGGGGTCACTCCTGAGCACAGAGCAGGAATCAGCCCTGAGCACTACAGAGTGGCCCTCAAACCAAAAACAAGGGGGAAAGAGGGAAAGAACTATGTTTCATTTACAAAATAAAAACCAAAAATCAAACCAAGAAGCATTTCCCCTTGTGAACCTTGCAGACGGCTAACATGGGTTCGATCCCTGGCACCACACATGGTCCCATGAGCCCTGTCAGGTATGATCCCTGCTGAGCAGAGCCAGGAGGAACCCCTGAGCACAGGGCGTGGCTTAGAAGGATTAAAAAAAATAGTAATTTCTGTTAATCTTGAGTATACTTCAATGTTTAGGACAAAAATGACATTTAAGGGGCTGGAGAGATAGCACAGCGGGTAGGGCGTTTGCCTTGCACGTGGCCGACCCAGGTTCAATTCCCAGCATCCCATATGGTCCCCTGACACTGCCAGGAGTAACTCCTGAGTGCAGAGCCAGGAGTAACCCCTTGCATCGCCAGATGTGACCCCCCCCCCAAAAAAGCAAAAATGACATTTAAGACAAAATAAAAATATGACCAAAAAGCAAAAAAAAAAAGTTTTAAAGTTTTAAAAACCAAAAAGTTCTTAAGCAGGGAAAGTTGATGACTGTTAACACTGTAGCACTGTCTTCCTATTGTTCATCAATTTGCTCGAGCAGGCCCAGTAACGTCTCCATTGTGAGACGTGTTGTTACGTGTTTGGCATATCAAATACGTCACGGGTAGCTTGCCAGGCTTTGCCGTGCAGGCGAGATACTTTAAGTAGCTTGCCGGGCTTTCCGAGAGGGGTAGAGGAATTGAACTCGGATCGGCCGGGTTGGCCACGTGCAAGGCAAACACCCTACCCACTGTGCTATCGAGGCATAAAGTCTAAGATGAAGCTGCAAAACACCTGGCATTGTGCGACTACAGCACACAGCGACAGCAGGCAGAGAAGCATGCCAGGAAACACTGGGTGTAGCCCCACAAACAGAACAGACACGAAACAAAAAGTCCGGATCCTTTCTTCAACTGGTTCTTCTAATAATTATTTTAAAAATATAACCTGGGGCTGGAGCGATAGCACAGTTGGGAGGGCATTTGCCTTGGACGTGGTTGACCTGGGTTCGATTCTCAGCATCCCATATGGTCCCCCAAGCACCACCAGGGCTAATCCCTGAGTGCATGAGCCAGGAGTAACCACTGAGCATTGCCGAGTGGGACCCAAAAAGCAAAAAATAAATAAAAATTAAAAAATAACGTATGAAAACTGAACATTTAAAAATAGGGAACTGGGGCTGGAGAGATAGCACAGCGGGTAGGGCGTTTGCCTTGCACGCGGCCGACCCAGGTTTGATTCCCAGCATTCCATATGGTCCCCTGAGCACCGCCAGGAGTAACTCCTGAGTGCAGGGCCAGGAGTAACCCCTGTGCATTGCCAGGTGTGACCCAAAAAGCAAAAAAAAAATAATAATAATAAAATTTTAAAAATAATAAAAATAGGGAACTATTACTGATTTGGGTGAGTTGATACTGTGGTCAGTTTAAAAAAGATTATTTGGGGGGTGGAGGGGCATCGTGGAGGGCAGGGACACTGGTATAAGGCTCCGTGTTGGAACACGGTGTGCCTGAAACCCAATCAGGAAAAGCAGTGTCATTTCACGGTATCTTAATAAAGATTATTTCAGGAACATGTTAGTTGATACTATGTCCAAGTACTTTGAAAGAGGAAGTGAGTAAGGAGATGAAATGAGATCAACACAGGGTTAATGATCATTTAAATAAGGGTCATGGAACCCTGGTGATCAACAGATTGATCAAAAAAACAAAGCTGAAGACTCAGAGGATATGGAAAAATCTGTAAAATGCTGCAAGGTGTCACAGGATACAGTTATATAATATTCACATCATTCCTTGAATATGGAAATATTTTAGATGAGGTGTAGACTGTAGAAGTGTATTGAAAACACGAATTGTGAGTGCCACAAACTGTTCCATGGAAACGCAGCGAGACCAACAGGACAAAGATGGAGCAAATGGACACTTAGGACTCGGGAAGCCCCCAAAACCCAACCCTGACATGGGCGGCTGAGCCGTGCATGAAGCCCCTCCTGCTGCCTGGTCATCTCTAACGAGCCGTAGGGGGTGCAAGGGCTTTCCAGGACACGTTGAAGCCCCCCCACAGGTGAGCCCTTCATACATGCCACCACAGGGCGCCAATGCTCGTGAACATTGGACATAACGGTGGGCTCTGTGTCACAGACACATGACCCGCCTGCTGGCAAGCACCCCAGAAACAAGAGCTCTCTGAGTGGAGGGAAACACTGATGGTAGCGTGGTCGCCTGACGACACTGGGGACGCTCCTGCAGGTGTGGGCGGGCAGGTGGCCCCACAGGGACCAGGAGCGAGTCTGCAGCGTGGAAGGTGAACTTCACCTGGACAGGGCAAGAGCTGGTTCGGCTGTAGGTCTCAGCAGTGCCCAGACCACAGCCAGTGCAAGGGACGTGCCCTAAGCTAAGGGTGAGCTCCGCGCACAGTCTGGACAAGAAAGGACATGGCGTGAGTGTGACCGGGCTGACGGAGCTGCAGGGAATGCTGTCCCTCTCCACGAGGCTTTCTGTCCCTGATAAAATCGATCATAAGAGAGGAAGGGGATGTAAAACACAACCTTAACTTTTGCTTTCCGTCGAGATAATCGGCAAGGGCTGGTTCCAGGGCAGGTTCCCACAGACCTACCTGAAGACCGCGAGGCTGAGTGACCAGAGGACCAATGGCTTCCTCAGCTCGAACTTGTCCCGCTTGTTCATCAGGTGCCGGCCGCCGAAGATACAGGCAGCGTACAGAGCGGAAAACAGGAACGATTTCTTCCTAGAACAAGCGAATGAGACCGGGTCAGGCAAACACCTGTCAGCAGCCATGATTTTGGTTGTTTTATTTCTGTGCTGTTGTTCTGTGTTCTGCTCAGCAGGTCTTGGGGCTGTTAGTTCAGCCCTACCCGCAGAACTATCACTGCATCTCCAAGCATCACTTTTTAGTTTCCTCAGCTAGACCAGTTCCCTCTTGGGAAACCCTACAAACAATTCCTGGGGGCTGGAGAGATAGTACAGTGGGGAGGGCATTTGCCCTGCACAGAGCTGACCCGGGTTCGGTCCCTGGCTTCCCATATGGTCCCCAGAGCACCGCCAGGAGTAATTCCTCAGCTGGGGGCTTAGGGTGTTGGAGCCAGGATCTCAGGCACCTAGGACACAGCCACCAAGCATCAAGATTAATAAGAGGGGGGGCCCAGAGAGCAGGGACAGCAGGCAGAGTCCTCGGGCCAGGGGTCACGCCCCTGAGCACAGCTGGGTGTGCCCGACTCCCCGCCCAAACAAAAAACAAATTAGCAAAAGGGGTGATAAGGGGAACCCAGTGGGAGGGCTCTTCCTCTCCTTCCCTCCCATCTACTCCCCTCAGGTTTATGTGGGACTTGGTTGAAAACACATAAGCAATAAAAGAACATAAAATAGAACCTCTGATTTATTAATGCCCCCCACCCCCACACACACACCCCAAAGGTGAATAGTGTTGATGGAGCCAAAAAGCAAAATCAAAACCCGTGTTTTAAAGACACAGAGACCAAGGTTTCAGCAATGACGTTGCTCGTAGAACTCCAAACTCCATTTGCCCAACAGGGTAAAGCACCAGGAGCCAACTGCAAGAGCGCTGCCAGCCTACTGCTGGGGTTTGGCCCCCACATGCCAACCGAGGAGGGTCTTCTCAGTCAGGCGGGCCACAGCGACTTCCAGAGATGCACCTGGCCTACTCAGTGGGCACCTACCCGGCCCTCAGGACCGAGGGCCACTGCCACTGCCTCTGGCAATCTCTTTTCATGGAAACCCAAGACCTGGCATGCACCAATGTTTGAGGAAGTTTGAGGTTTTATTCCACTGAATTTTCTAGTCGAGAAAACTCATTACGCACCTGTGTCTGTGGGAGTTTGAGACAGTGGCTGTGAATGAACAGTTGCAATTTCCCAGCTAAGTATTAATAACTAAAAGCAAAATACTCAGGAAAACAACACTGGGGCCAGAGGGAGAGCGCAGCGGGGAGGGTGCCCACCGTGCACGCAGCTGAGTGGGACCCGGTCTCTAGGCCGCCCATAGAGCCCCGAGACCTCCAGGAGGGACCTCAGCAGAGCCACATGTAGCTCCCAAGTCCCAAAACAGAAAAACAAATCCACCCATTCTGCCTAACGTCCAAGAAAACGCCACCCTGCTCTGCCTGGGCATGGCGTGAAGAGAAGCTCCACATAGTCAGGCTGCCCTCTGCAAGGCCTCTGGGTGGGGAATGGCCTGGCTTGCCGCGGGGTGGCAAATTAATTATATCTACCCTTGAAAATTTAGTCCCTGTAATTATTTATCAGCCCTATCATATGTGGGTTAGGGTTATATTCTTTACAATCACTAAACAAGTGAATGCTTCTGAAAGGCCTTACTTATCATTCAAGGGAAAAATAATATGCTTGGCTGAAGTAAGAAGACCAATCTCTGCTGGGACGGAGAGATAGTTCAGTGGGTAGGGCATCTGTCTTCCAAAAGGCTGACCTGGGTTAGATTCCCTGGCATCCCACAAAGTCCCTTGAGCCCGCCAGGAGTGATTCCTAAGCTCAGAGCCAGGAGTAACCCCTGAGCATCGTCAGGTGTGACCCCCAAACAAACAAGCAATATCAACAACAAACAATAAATCTGTGTTTATCTCCTCGCTTCTAACTTTTCTAGTTCCAGGATTAGAATTGGTCCTCTTTGCTACATCTACACAATGGAATACTATGCAGCTGTTAGAAAAGATGAAATCATGAAATTTGCATATAAGTGGATCAACAAGGAGAGTATCATGCTAAGTGAAATGAGTCAGAGAGAGAGGGACAGACATAGAATGACTGCACTCACTTGTGGAATAAAAGTAACAGAATGGGAGACTAACACCCAAGGATAATAGAGATAAGGGCCAGGAGGATTGCTCCATGGCTTGGAAGCTGACCTTACATGGGGAGGGAAAAGGCAGTTGGGATAAAGTAGGGACCACTAAGTGAATAGTGCTTGGAGGGCTCGCTTGGGATGGGAGATGGGTGCTGAAAGTAGACTACAGACCAAACATGATGGTCGCTTAGTACCTGTATTGCAAACCATAACACCCAAAAGGAGAGAGAGTAAAAGGGAATGTGCCTGCCACGGAGCTGTGTGTGTGTGTGTGTGTGTGTGTGTGTGTGTGTGTGTGTGCGCGCGCGTGTGTGCGTGTGGGGGGGGTATGGGGATGGGGTGGCAGGAGGCATACCGTGACCATTGGTGGTGGAGAATGGGCACTGCTGGAGGGATGGGTATTTGATCATTGTATGACTAAAACGTAATCATGAAAGTTTGTAAGTCTGAAACAGTATCTCATGGTAAGAATTTGTCCAGAGGTTTTTATGAACTTTGAGGACTGCTCCCCTTGCCCCTTTTCTAAATATCTCTTTATACACCTTCAACCGCAGAGGGCAACCAAGCTGGTCAGGACGGATGCTCGTAGCTGCCATCACTGCAGGCTCGCCCTGCTACAGCCAAGAGATCAACTGACGGTGTTCTAGGTCCTTGCTCAGAAGCAGAACCAGGGAGGAGAGAGGCTGGTGACGTTGGTGGCCCTGAGTCAGGTTCCTCAATACGGTGGGACTGTGCTTAGATGGTCACAGATGGGCAGAGACTGCTCTCCCGGGAGCCAGAACGTGGCAAGAGTGTGAATGCTGAGCTACAAGTGCTGGGGGCAGCCCTCTGCGTCAATGCTCCAGGGTGGGCAGATGCAGGTGTCCGGGGATAATCGGCACACTGAGACCCCTTTCACGACAGGGAGTCCTCCAAGGGAGCACAGACTCTTTACCTCTTCCACTGAATCATCAAAATAGATCTTTTGGGTGATGACTTTTTTCATTTCGCTTAGAAGAAAAGATTTTTTCTCTAGCCTACTGGGCAATTTTCGTGGATTAAAACTGCCTTTGCATTCTGGCATCTCTCTGACAAAGATTCTATTATAGTCAAGATGAATAATGGCTCGCTGCTAGCCCACTTACAACTTAATGTGGATAGATGACGGCCCTAATGCAGCAGTGATAATGCAATAATACTTTATGTCCCGGCAGGCCTTCATGGCTGGGGATTATGGTAACATTGTTTTATTACCAGATAACTAGCAATTTCCAGATGGCCTGGGTTCTTCCTGTTCAATAAATCTTAAACATACGTCACAGAGCAGAAGACTCAACTGGAGGTACTTAGCAGGATTGGGGCGGGGAGTATTCTGTAGCTCCGATTATAAGTAAAAGACCACCCAGATGAAATCCTAGTCTAGTCTGAGCCGGTGTGCCTGTCATTATTTTTCTCTCTTCCTTTCCCGTCAGTGTGAATGACAGAACTCAGACCAATAAGACCGACAATGGCCTGATCATCTCTCCTTAGAGATCTGTACTTCCTAGCATCCCCCTTGTTCCAGAGTATTCCTAGGAAGTGGTTTTTCTAGTCTTGCCTGGCTAGCTACGCACGACCTGTGTTTCTTGCTCTACTCAACAGCGCATCTCAAAGAGCGCACATCCTTTCAAACGTTTCGACTCCGACACCAGTACTTGGCTGGCCTCTCCTTGATGCTCTCAAGGTGCGTGCCAACCGGCTGTACTGGAGCCCAAGTGTGTTTGAGGCTGGAACCACTTCCTGCGGGCGGCACTTCCCCTGTGACTGCAGACACAGCCGGGGCAGTGGCCCCTGTATGTCTCACGGACCTCGATTCCGTGCTGCGGTTCATTAGGGCTTTTGTTGCTTCCGACTGAAGCACCAGAGCTGCTGAGGAAGGTCATAGCCGGGAGATGAGAAGGGGGCTCACCCGGCCCACTGCCATCGTGCATGCCCAGGAAGAAAGCTGGTGTTCTGAAGGAGGAGCGAAAATGCTCACGGGTGGCAAAACATCTCCTTTCAGAGGTTTCCTTTTTAGTTCAGATGCTGATTCAGTTTGAAAACAACAAAAGAATCGAAAAGGAACTGTAAAGCCACTTGAGGACCCAGAGACTGGAAGGAAGCAGTGCCCTGTCTGTGCCAACAAGATACGCTGGTGATGATTTCACGTGACTACGATGCTTTCGAGAGGAATCCTTACGCTGTGCCCTAGGTTCTCGCCGAGGATTCCACAGGTTCTTAAGACAAGAGCCCAAGATTCCACAGGTGTTCCTCCACATCAAGAATAAAGGAGAGGTTCAGTGAGAGAGCGAGGGGGAGGGGAAGAAGAGAGGAGAGGAAGAGAGAGAGCGGAGAGGAGAAAGGGAGAGAGAGAGAAGAGAGGAGAAAGGGAAAGAGAGAGAGAGGGAGATAGTACTTGCTATAGAGACAGGCTGGGGGGAGGGTGGCGGGAGGGAAACTGGGGACACTGGTGGTGGGGAGTGTGCATTGGTGGAGGGATGGGTGCTGGGACATTTTGTGCCTGAAACCCGACCATGGAACAGTTTAAGGGTCTATCTCGTGATGATTCAATTTAAAAAAAAAAAAAACGAATAATGGGAAGACCTGAGCAACAGGAAGTGGTTGGGGCACTTGCCTTATACACAGCCCGCCCAGATTCAATCCCTGACACCCCACAGGGTCCCCCCAGGACTGCAGGAGTGATCCCTGAGAACAGAGTCAGAGGTCAGCCCTGAGCAGACGGGTGTGGCCTCCAAACCACAAATAAATACAAATAGAGGGAAACTTCCGGCAGATTTTCTCCATGAGTAAACTGTGACAAAAGCTGATCTGTGACTAATGGAAAGTATGTTCCCTAAGGTGTCCAGATGATAAGAGAGGCAAGAAAAGGATGTTCCTCTAGCCCATGGTGGC